TGTGGCGTGTGTCATGTGCGAGATGTGTCCTGTGTGACGTGCGTCATGTGTGACATGTGTCCTGTGTGACGTGCGTCATGTGCGACATGTGTCCTGTGTGACGTGCGTCATGTGCCCTGTGTTATGTGCGTCATGTGCGACATGTGTCCTGTGTGACGTGCGTCATGTGAGACATGTGTCCTGTGTGACGTGTGTCATGTGCGACATGTGTCCAGTGCGACGTGCGTCATGTGCGACATGTGTCCTGTACATGTGTCCTGTACGACATGTGTCCTGTGCGACGTGTGTTTTGTGCGACACGTGTCCTCTACGACATGTGTCCTGTACGACATGTGTCCTGTACGACGTGTGTCCCGTACGACGTCTGTCCTTTACGAAGTATGTCCCGTACGACGTGTGTCCTTTACGACGTGTGTGCTGTACGATATTTGTCCTCAATTTGTCTGACATAAAACAGATTTCCTTGTTGCACACTTTTGTATTAATCTCTTATATATATTTAGCTCCTGGTATGACCTGCTTCCTTTTCGAAACCGTTCTTCCACTAACTCCATATCTTTTAGATTAATAGCAAAGAATGGGAAAGAGGGCTGTCATGCGTGGCGTGTGAACTCGGGTAATTTTTTTTCTTTAAAAAAAGGAGTAGGAGGAGAGTGTGACTATTAGATTAATCAATAAAGAGCAACGGTTATAGTGTAAGACTGTCTATAGAACTATTGTTTTAAGGCCGACAGGTAGTGTGTGTAGAACTGTCTGTAGGCCTATTGTTTGAAGGCCGGCAGGTAGTGAGTAGGACTGTCTGTAGGCCTAGTGTTTAGAGGCCGGCAGGTAGGGACTAAGACTGTCTGTAGGCCTAGTGTTTAGAGGCCGGCAGGTAGGGAGTTGGACTTTCTGTAGACCTATTGTTTGAAGGGCGGCAGGTAGGGAGTAGGACTGTCTGTAGGCCTATTGTTTGAAGGGTGGCAGGTAGGGAGTAGGACTGTCTGTAGGCCTATTGTTTGAAGGGTGGCAGGTAGGGAGTAGGACTGTCTGTAGGCCTATTGTTTGAAGGGTGGCAGGTAGGGAGTAGGACTGTCTGTAGGCCTATTGTTTGAAGGGCGGCAGGTAGGGAGTAGGACTGTCTGTAGGCCTATTGTTTGAAGGGCGGCAGGTAGGGAGTAGGACTGTCTGTAGGCCTATTGTTTGAAGGGTGGCAGGTAGGGAGTAGGACTGTCTGTAGGCCTATTGTTTGAAGGGCGGCAGGTAGGGAGTAGGACTGTCTGTAGGCCTATTGTTTAAAGGGTGGCAGGTAGGGAGTAGGACTGTCTGTAGGCCTATTTCTCAAAATATCTAGATCCGGTGTAAAAAAAACAACAACAACTGCACCCGGTTAAGCACATGTAATTAATATTAAGTTTCATGCTTTAAAAAGAATTGAAATATTTTCTGAAAATTTCAAAGATTGTGTTGTCATCTGCAACGAGTCTAGGTGCCAAGTTTCAGCTCGATGGGTTGACGGGAAGTGGATCAATTAACCGTCCGAAGTTTTTGCCCTAAACACACAAAGGCGATGTTAATATAAAGGATTTTAAAAATAAAATGAATTCTTCTCAAATTACGAATTTCCATCGTACATTCATTTTCAGATATTTGAAGCTAAGAAGGGAATGTAACTACGAGCTCTTTGGTGATGACTTCCCTTTGAGACCAAGCTCTCCAAGCGTTACAGATATTCTCATCACCTTGTGGATAACTGGTAGGTAAAACAAGTAACCCCCTTCAACACATGACCGGTAGGTCAAAGTAGCGAACCCATCACTACACCATTGGTGGGTCAAAGTAGCGACCCCATCACTACACCATTGGTGGGTCAAAGTAGCGACCCCATCACTTCACCATTGGTGGGTCAAAGTAGCGA